ACACACACATGTGTAAATATCGTATAGTCTCCCTAGTATAAGAACTCCAAAGAAGAAATACAAATAGAAAGATATCTATCAAATCACAAACATAAGCATAATTTACATTTGTAGAAAGAAAGCATAGAATAAATAGCAAAAAGTCAAGCAAAAATTGGGATCTAGGTAAGTTATATTTGCTGAAGCCTCAAAAGCTTAGTTAACAACTGAAGCTGCTCACCAGCAAAAAAAAAAAAGAAAAAATGGGTGGGGAACAAAAGCAAGAGCCATGTACACTGGGGAATCCTGAGGTCATGATGGTGTTCCCTAGGGAAGGTTCCAAAACAGTTAGATGGGTGCAATCAATGTGGAAAACAGTGTGGAGACTCTTTAAAAAACTAGGACCAGAAATGCCACTCAAACCAGCTATCCCCCTACTGGGAATTTTCCCAAACGAACTTAAAATATCATATCATAGTGATATATGTGCACCTATGTTTATAGCAGCACAATTTGTGATAACCAAATGTTGGAGGCCACCAAAATGCCCATCACCTGGCAAATGAATGAAAAAGATGTAGTGTTTTTATACAATGGAGTATTACTCAGCTGTAAAGAATGATAAACTCAAAGCCTTCATATATAAGTGGATTCTACTTGAAGATATACTCATAAGTGAAATAAACCAGACCCACATGTGTAAATATCATATAGTCTCCCTAGTGTAAGAACTCAAAAGAAGAAGCAAAAATTGAAAGGTATAACACAATTAAATGGAAAGTGAGAACTTAAGGAATAAATGATGAAAACAGAGCAAGGAGAAAAGCTGGAAACATGGCAGGGGCAAAACCATACATTTATATACACAAGATGGTTAAAGCAATGATCCTGAGAATCTTCATCAGGTTTTTGAAACTAGCAGTTAACTGGTAGGATTCTCTCCCTGACTAGCTATATATACTGATACCTGTGAACTAAGCAACTGCACCAAGAATAACAATGTGTAATACTAGGGCCATGCTTGGAATGCCTGTCATTCTGGTCTTATAAATGTATACTGCTTCTAATATCATATCAATTACTGCTCTACTCTTTCTCAAATAAATGTTTTTTTAAAAAAAGGTAATAAAAGAAAACAAGAGACAAGAAAAAATGTCATAAGATTGTCCTGATACAATGTTGTATATGGTTAGATTTCTAAATTTCTGTTCAAAACTGTGGGGTGGGGAAGGGAGGCCCTAAGCAATCTGGAGTCTGTAAGTTCTCATTCAAACAGGAAGAAGTGAGTGAAGTCTCAAAAAAATACTTGGAATGAGAAATTTTTGTCTGTCTGATAATCTAAAAAGTAATAATTAGTCACATAAGTCCACTAATATTGCCTTTTCTACAAAGGGACTTGGGTCTTGGTGGACACAGGTGATTTCTGAAGGAAGAGAGCAGATTACACAAAAAGCCCAGTGGGTTCAGCAATGCCATAGTATTATGCATGACTAGTAGTGCATAACTTTATCTGTCCTCAGTTGATGCCAGGGTATTTATGGCTGATAGCTTGTTCATTCAGTGAAGGTCTAGAGGTAGGATACACCATAGCTCTCATGGGACATCACTACTTATTTAGCCCTGCTGTCAGCCTCTTTCTCATATCTGACCCATAGGGATGGGCATGTTAGCCCCTTTACACTGTAATGATGATCCAGCGATGTTCTGGTCAGTCTGTAGCATCCATCAAGTGGTTTTGCCCAAGTGATTGATAAGCCTCTAAGTGCAAAGGAATCTAGTTGGAGCTTTCAAGGCTGCATAACAGATATGGACAGGAGTGAGTTCATAAAGTTCATGGAAACTTTTATTTCCCCAGGGACATGACTAATAAAGACAAATGTACAAAAAATAAATAGCACTAAGGATAGTTTGTCAGGCACCATGCAACACAGAGATATTAACTTAAATCATCCAAATTGTGACGATCTGATGAATCAGATACTATTGTTTTCCCTTGTATCTTTTTCCATATGTGTGCAAAAAGACTATCAAACAATTGAAATTGTTTCCCAGATTTTATAAGTCCCCAGGTGAGACACAGCAGGAGCTCCTGAGAATTCAAAGCATGAAAGTTTGGAGTAAAGCAGGAGCAGAGACCTCAGGTAGTTAGGAATGCCAGGATATCTTCAGAGGAAACCTGTAGGCACCAAGAAAAGGCTGCCAAGTGAGGATCTCTCTATGGTTTAACCAGCATAATGATAGATGTAGAACTGGGCAGATGTACCTCTGGAGTTTACATCTTGTAATCACAGGTTATGTATGCTGGATATGTAAGTACAGGACTTAATGTTTTACTGGTGGGTTTTATTCTTCCTTTGGTCCAGTTCTTTTCCATTGCTCTATTCCTCCTTTGGCATATGAAAGCTTACTGTTTTACTTTGTAGCTTGGAAACATGTTACTTGGTGTTCAAATTGTCTAGAGGTTGATGGGTAAGACTTTTCCTTTAATCACTGAGATTTTGGGCTCAGTTTTGAGAAATGATAGAGTTGTTGAGACACAGGAAGGAATTTCCACTTTTTCATTTCATTTGTATACAGAGGAGCGAGGGAGATGGTTCAGTGGAATAAGTGCTTCCCTGGCAAGTGCACGGGCCTGAGTTCAATCCCTGGTTCCGAAAAAAAAAAAAAAAATACCAGTCATTTGTATACAGGATAGTTGCAGCAAGTTAGGTGCAATGATGATGACTTTATTTTATATCCATTTGTCAATTAAAGAAATGCATTCATATTTAAATTGAAAATGGGTGTCCTTATGAGGGTTATTCTTCATTATTCATTTAATTGGATTGAGATATGCCCAGAAGATTGATTGAAGCATGTTTCTCGGTTATCTTAGGTGGTCAGAGAGGCATGATATTAAGTACTGTATCTAGTGTCTAGCCCCTTCCACTTGAACATATCTCCTGTTTCTCTGCTTCCAGCTGCCATAATGGGAATATATTTCTTCTTCAAAGGCCCTCTGGCTTTGTGTTTGTGCTTTGAGGCAAATAGACCATGGACTGAAACTTTCGAAAAAATAAGCTGAAATAAGTCTTTCTCCTTTAGATTGTGTTGTCAGATATTTTGCCCCAGTGATCCAAAGCTAATACTAGTATTTTCCAAATGAAAAATAAATCATTTCTCATAGTTTGGAAGAGGGAAACCATCTAAGATTAAGCTGACACATAAGGGTCAACTTCCCCATATGTGCCATGTTATAGCTGTGCCTTAACAGGGCAAAAGGAGTTCCTTGGTTTGCTTTCGTAATATGCTAATTTTACTCCTGAAGGTTATACCTACACTAACTCATTCACTCCAAACATTTCAAATTTGTAACCCCTCATATTGAGGTTCCAAAAAAAATGGGAGGACTCAAACATTCATAACCTGTTTAGCACTAGATTCTGCTAAGACAATCCCTTGGGAAATTCTTCATGGTGTGGACCCTAAATTAACACTATTCAAATCCATTCTTTCATAGGGGGAAGTGTGGACACATCCTTATTCCATGTGGCCCACTTTAAAGAGGAGGGGATGCTCCTGGAGAAACCATCCAGAGTGGAGACACATTACATAGTCCTAGAAAACCCCAGCTTCTCCCCAATGGGAATTTTCTTGAAAATGTTCTCTACTGCTCGGCGCTTCATTCCTATCAATTGCACCACGTTGCTCTACCATCAGCTCCAACCTGAAGATGTCAAATTTCACCTCTACCTGATCCCAAGTGACTGTACCATTCGGAAGGTGATGCAAAGAATAGGATGAGTGGGCCACAGTAGGATGATGATAGGCACAAAATGCAGTAAGAGAAACTCTAGGGGGTCTTCACTTGGAATGAAAAATGGTCCCGTTACAATGTGCAAACCTCAACATGGGTGCTTAATCCTGCCCTCTGCTCAGTCATGGACTAATCTTCAAAACCTCTCAAGTCTCATCAAACCTGTTTGATAATCCAATGGACTGCTATTTCTCCAGGTTTAAAGCAATGGGAAGGCTGCATACTTAAAAGTGTAGTTTTTCTTTAGTTTCTCATTTTCTCTATCAGTCACTCTTTTTGCTTAACATAGCACACATGAACAGTGAGGCTGTTTCTGAGAAGGAACATGTCAGAAGGGAAGGGCAGAGGTGATATGGGCTGGGACACACACACTGAACCTGGACATGTTGAACAACTTCTATCCCTTTTCAGATCAGATTTTAAAAGGCAGAATGAAACTCAATCATGTTCTCTATCTTTCTCAGGCAATAGATGATGAAGAAAAGAAGTTCCAGTTTACACGAATACACAAGCCACCCCCAATGGACTCTCTGTACATAGGCAGCTGCTACACTGTGTCTGGTTCAGAGAACCTGGAAATCATCCCGAAGGTGAGTAGCTCATATGTTTCTATCCTCCTCAGAATCAGAAGATATGCTTGGGGGAAAAGTATGTTAGATGAGTCTTAGGGCTTTTCCAGAGACAGGTCACTGGACTGAGGCAGAGAATAAGGGGCCTTGGGGTGAGAAAGAGTGCTCAAAGCCTAGAAGAGAAAAGCTTCAAAGATTGCAGGAAAGGAAGTTATAGTGAGGGAACATCACATCTGTGATTGAAAGTTTGACCAGGGGAACTGGAAATGGTTGGTTGTCAATGCCTTCCAGGCAAAGCACACCTGTAGTTTAAGATCTTGAGAAACTAATCAAGTCTTACATCTAGGAAATGCAGACTACCACAAACATGAATCTATGACAGACACTTAGCAGACATTCATTATAGTGCTTGAGCAGAATCCTCAGCATTTTTTTTTTTTTGGCAGAACCAGGGATTGAACTCAGGCCCTTGTGCTTGCTGGGGAAGCACTTATTCCACTGAGCCATCTCCCCGGCTCTGAGCCATCTACCGGCTCCCCTCAGCATTTTATAGGGCACACAGTAACCTGTCTAATGTAAATAAACTGTGCATGTTCAACAAGGGACAACATGACTTACCTGCAACCCTCTGATCATTTTTAATGGCCTTGAGGTATAACTGTTTGCTTTTAATCAGTTAGCATGATAATGAACTTTACTTATGAGCCTCAGGATAGTCTTGACCACCAGAGACTACTTTTTGTCCTTTCTTTGTGTGCACTCCTCATTGGCCAAAGGCAGATGAGTTGGAGTCACTGGTGATTAATACATGATAACAAATTTTCAGCATTACATAAATCTGCTGGCTATGATCAAAGAAGCAAACACAGAATAGCAGTTTCTAGTTTCTCAGGGATTAGAGGGATGGGAAGTTAGCTTGCCTGTCATCTGGAATGATAGGGTTCATGGAGGGCTGCTGCCTTTCACACTCAGAGCAGCACATGAAGGACAGTAGTAACCTAAGCAATTACCAAGCACCATACGACTATAAGTCCTTTTACAGGTCTAGATACACAACTGTAGGTTATGAAATAAACATATCCTGAATACACTTGGGTCTGTTGAAGGAAGCCCAATACTCCCCCTTTTCACTTTTCAGGTAAAAATTGTCCCATTTTCAGCAGTGTAAGGACAACAGGAAATTGCTATAATAAAAGTTTCCCTGTCTGGCTTTATATTTTCATCTATGAGATAAAGTAGAAGATGACAGATCATTCAGTTAACTTAAGAATACTAGATATAGTCTAGACAATATATATGAGAGGTTTTTTCCCTTAAATTGTGGAAAGAAGACACAAGAATAAAAAATAAAAGATGGACGATAAGGGAGGTCTGTTACTATTTCAGAGAGCATTGGAATGAAATAATAGAAAAAGACAGACATAGAGCAAAGGAATGGAATAGAAAGTTTATAAACGAAATAAATTATCCTGTTGTTTTGCTTTATTCTTTGGGTTTGTTTTTGAGGTAGGATCACACTTTATAGTAAAAGATGGTCTTGAACTTACTTATGTAGCTCAGGCTGGCCTCCATCTCACAGTGATCCACCTGCCTCAGCCTTCTAAGTGCTGGAGTTACAGGAATGCATCACTATACCGAATATCTCCACTTGTCCTGTTTTAACACCAACTAGAAGCTGTGCAGTTATAAAGGCAGCAGACTGCATGATTTCTAATAATCCTACTTAATGTCTCCAAATGAACTCAAGATCCAGTTAGTACATGTAGTATTGTTTATATTTTGATGTAGGAGTCATGAATCCAACATGAATATTTTGGGGTTTCTTGGATTGCAGTTGTTAATAAAAGATTAGGGACATGATTTTGGCATTCAACAGTAACCTAATGTCATATGTATATTTTAGTAGATATCATTCAGTGACCCCACAGTCTTTAGGAAGTTACAACCTGGCAGAATGGGTCTGCATAAAAAATTAAAGAAGTAGCTACCAAGTACTGTATGGAGCCATGGAACAAAAAAGAGCATCAAGGGCTAGTCAAATAGCTCAGTGGATTAAAGCACCTGCAAGCAGGTACAAACATTCGATCCCTGGGCCTGCTGTGCTGGACCCACCTCCAGGGCACACTGAGAGAGTAATTGAGACTGGGCATGGTGGTGTGCATCTGTAATCCCAACATCTGGGGAAATGTAAATAGGAGAATCACTACAAGTCCAATCTAGTAGTGATACCCTGAACACCCTGTTGACTCTTCCCTAGAAATACAAAAAAAAAAAAA